TATGTTGGAGATAATTTGATTAGCATTAAGATGTAACTTTGCATGAATTTTATTCTTTAAATATTCAACATCAATACCACGACTAATACGTATTGTTTTATGACTACCCACGAATGAACAACCCTTAGCAGTTTGGTTAATTGTACCATTGTAATACACTACACAAATGAAAGACATGATTTAAACGAAATTTGACAGATACTAAATAACAAACATAGCAGCTATGCAACAAATCACATAACAAAATAAACAAAATCACCTTAATTTTTTGTTTTAATTTGATTCCCAATAAGTTAAATTACTGCAATGTCAGACCTTCCGTCCAAATTTCTTAAACGGAGTTAACTGTTGGCCACGAGGATGTCACGTAGATGCATAGGTGGCAAGGTCTCACGTGTTTCTCCTCCTCCTTTTTTAATGCATCTAGAACGGCTCGTTCTGAAACCAAAACAGCACGTTCTACGTGCACTTTTTATGTGTTAATTTTGCATCTAGAACAGGTCGTTCCAGATACAGCATTTAACATACAACGAGTGCAAGCAGAACGGCCCGTTCTGAAATCAGAACGGTCCATTCTGGTTACAAAACGGGCCGTTCTAGATTTAGAACAGGCTATTCCATAAAGTCAACGTATGTTCAACAAAATGCAGCAATGTGGTTCAGAGATTGAAAATAAAAATTCATAATATAACATAAATTTAAAGACTGAAATATGGTTCAGAGACTACAAACAAAAATTCATAACAAAACATATATTAAGAAGTTCAAATAAATTATTGAGGAGGGAAATAAAACCATGTCGTTTCATTCTCGACTATATAGTGCCGATTTGATAGTAAGTGATTCACGACTAACAATGAAATAAAACCTGTCACCATTGTCCTTAGTGTCCTTAGTGATACACTGCATTGCATAACAACTATTACAATTAATACTTCTAGGAATTTCTATATCCTGTAATTGGTCCAGAAATGGTGTATAGCCCAAATGTTTAGCAATTGAAGTTATCAATCCCCAATTGACAATATTATCTAATTCAGTGTTTGAAATGTTTTGTACCTTGAATTTTTTTTCCTTGAACAATTCACAATCGTGATTTTAAATCACGGACGTGAATTATAATCATTGATCGTTTGGGGTTAGTGTTCTGGGACCAGATCACGGCTCGTTCTGAAACCAAAACGGGCCATTTTGATTACACTATTTGTGTGTTAATTTTGCATATGGAACGGCCCGTTCCAGATGCAAAATTAACACACAAATAGTGCAACCAGAACGACCATTCTGGTTTTAGAACGAGCCGTTCCAGATGCATTAAAGAAGGAGGAGGAGGAAGACGTGGGATCTTACCACCTACGCATCTACGTGACATTCACGTGACCAATAGTTAATTTCATTTAAGAAATTTGGACTGAAAGTCCGACATTGCAGTGATTTAACTTATTGGGGACCAAATTGAAACAAAAAATTAAGGTAAGACTAAATTAAAATTTTAAAATATTATAAGAGACCAAAATAGTATTTTTTCCTTAATCAATTCATCCCCAATACAGGAGGTATTTGACATTTGCAATATTTAAAAATAGTAAACATAATATCGTTTAAAATACTTTCATAAAAGAAAATAAAAATTAATAAATGATAAAGATTTAGAAAAAAAAAAGAGAAAGGTTTCGAATAAAATGTATAGGATTTTAAATTTAATTCCTGAAGTTGTCATTATAATTTTTGATAAATAAAAACATAAAAAAATATTTCCTATTTAAAATGAAAAAATATGAATTCTCTAAAATAAAAAAAATATAAACTTTAGACGTTTTTTTTTTTATGATTAAAGATGGTAGATAAAAGATAACATCTCTAATGACTATTAAATAAAAAGTCAATGATATATTGTAAATCATTAGACAAACACTATATATTATCCATTTAATAATTAGTTAAAATTTAATAATATTTCGTTTGATACAAGATTTTACTTGTTAAATTGAGAGACTCATTAGAAAAATTTTAGCTCTAGTATTAAAATATTTCTTTAAATATATTTTTTCATCAAAATAAGATTTCGATAATCCTAACAAATGTCAAATTAAATATCATAAAAAACATAAATTAGGACCAAATTTTTTACTATTTATACACACTCACGATGATAAATATAGATTTTATATATAAAAATCATACTTGTAATTAGTAATTAAAAAATCTAAAATTGATAAACAAAATCTCATCTATTAATTAATTTTCTATTCTCTACCTTTTATGTTCGTTAATATAAAAATATAATTTTGCAAAAATTAACGTAATTATTAGTCTTCTTAGTCATAAGCAATGCAATTTACCAAACATATATAGATTCTTCTCTAGCTTGCACCTATATAACACCACATCTCCCATCGTTACATAGAGGATCACAACCCGAGAAGTTGGTGAAAAATCATCCATGGAAGCTCAAGCACTGCTAACCCTCACTCTCCTAAGCCTCTATGCCTCAGGCACATTCTCTTTCTGCTCTCTTTAATTACCATTACAAATGAAATTGCAATAAACCCTAATAACAAAATATTGTTGTACATTACAGGGGCATACTCAGTCACATTCACATTCACAAACAATTGTCCATACACAGTCTGGCCCGGAACCCTAACTGCTGCAGGCAAACCACAGTTATCATCAACAGGCTTCGAACTCCCTTCAAAGGCTTCATTTTCCTTGGATGCTCCACAAGGATGGTCTGGTAGATTCTGGGGAAGAACTCACTGCTTCAAAGACCCTTCAGGGAAATTCACATGTGCCACTGCTGATTGTGCCTCTGGCCAAATCCCATGCAATGGTGCAGGTACCTACATAGTCACCAATTAACACTCCCTCAATTTGAAAGAAAAAAAATATATTTAAATTTGTATATTTTTCTTTCTTTATTTTATATATATTTGAACCCGTTTGTCACTGACTCAAGGTCTTGGATCTGTGACTGTGCAGGTGCAGTGGCACCAGCATCTCTAGTGGAACTAACACTGGCCTCAGATGCCAAAGGCCAAGATTTTTTTGACACAAGCCTGGTTGATGGCTTCAACTTGCCACTCTCAGTGGCCCCACAAGGTGGTGGTGGTGTTAGGTGCACCACTACTAGTTGCCCTAGCAATGTGAATGCTGCATGTCCACCGAATTTGGCTGTGAAGGGTGGTGATGGAAGTGTGATTGCTTGCAAGAGTGCGTGTGTGGCATTCAACACTCCACAGTACTGTTGCCAGGGTGAGTTTGGTGGCCCTCAGACTTGCCAACCCACTGACTATTCCAGAATTTTCAAGAAGCAGTGCCCTCAGGCTTATAGCTATGCCTATGATGATAAAACCAGCACTTTTACATGTTCTGGGAGCCCTAACTATGTCGTCACTTTCTGTCCATGATTCTGTTAATTAGTTAGTTTAACTTTGGTGCTTATGATGCAATGTTTGTAACTTTGTAATGTTTGAGAGAAGTTGCAAAGTGAAATTTCTTAAATAATTACCAAAAGTATGCGATTAATTGATTACGAAATTTACATTTCTCTACAGAATATTATTCAAAGCTACGTTGAGTACTTGTTTTAGTATACTTCAAACATATATTTTGCTATAATATTAATCAAAGAGAGTGAGGTCTAGTATGTTAGATTGGTTCAAGGATTGTTTGTTTGTGTGTTTTTAAGAAGTTATTTATTTGAAAATATCAGAAAAAGTTGAAAAATGATAATAATAAAAAAGTGAATATGTTTTTTTTAATCATATCATCAATATCTTCGATTCACCGGTGAAAAATTAATTTCATTTATAATATTGTAATTGTAATTGTGTCGAAATTTTTTAAATATAATAAAAATCGAACATGTAACATAATATTATATAATATATGAAATGTTTAAAGTTCCAAGAGTATATTTATTATTGCTGAAATTTTTTTTGAGATAATTAGCTAAGCCTTTTAAAAGCAAGTTAAAATTAAAGAAAAAAATAGCGCTTTTTTAAATAAAAAAAATTGTGTGAGAGAGAAATATTATATGTATAATAAAATATATATTAAATTTTACAATTAACAAAGAAAATAAATACAAGCACTAGGGTTGGGTGGGGAAGGGTTAAGATAGTTAGAAGCATGAGGATCTAGGTTCAATTCTCATTGCGACTATTTTTGTAATCTTTCCTATTTTTACCAAAAAAAAAAGAAAAATAAATACAAGTGTGAGATGAGATTATTAATAGCCTTTAATGTTTTGAATTAATGTACTCTCTCTGTCAATGAATAAAAGCTACTTAAGGTTTTTTACACTAATAAATTTGTTGACTTTAGATTAAATTAATTAGTTGTACTTTTTTCTATTATATCCTCGTCAGTTTATTTATCCCTATATCCATTTTTATGTCTATTTCTTATTTTCTTCATTCTATTTATTTTACTCTCTCTTTAATAAAGTGTATAGTTGTGCATTAGTTTATCAAGTGCATGATGATACAGGAAGTTCATGTTCAATACAATCAGTTTATTTTAAAAAATTGAAGATAAATCCATACATGAAGTCATATATTCTAACCTAGCACTATTATAATTCTACATTAGAAAATATCACATTCAATATATTACTCTCCAACACATACAAGTTTAGGATGTAATTATTTGGTCAATGGTATTGGAATGATTAAGTTAAGCTTAATTTTTTTTTAACAATGAAAACATTGAAATTCGAATATATATATATATATATATATATATATATATATATAAGTACTATTTTATTTAAATCTTATAGTCTTGACCCACTTTCAACTTATTTTTTAGCAAATCAAAGTGATCAAGTTGATAAATTGAAAACCTTAATCCTCCCAGCAAATTTTTTGTTTTTAAAATCAACTCTTACACGTTACAATTATATATATCTGCTCAAAAGTTTATTATTAACCTCACTTTTCTTTTCTTTTTACTAGTATTTTTGTCTATGTACAAGTTAAATATTTATTATATATAATTAAAATTTATAATAAATTATAGACGAATAAATATTATGTTTGAATATATAAATCATATTTAAAATTTATATAGATAGATATTTAAAATATATAAAATATATTTTAGATTTATGATAAATATTTTATATTATAATATAATATTATGTTATTTATTGATAATTTATTTTAAAATATTAAAATTTGATTCATAAAAATTAAAATTAAAATAAAATAAAAAATATTTCAAAATTTTCTACAAACATTTTCACATGAAATAAATTTTTATATTTTATATATTAGAGTTGATTTAAAAAATAAATACGGTCGTAGATGTAAAAAATCCTTTTTGACAAAATTATGGGAGGAAATTGAAATGGACCAACGCCGGCCATTTGCTGCTTCATGTCACTTTTGGGCACTAATGAACTTCCCATTTGTCAGCTTCACAAATTATATTTAATAGTCTCATATCTCAATTCATGAGACTTAAAATTATGACCAATTTCACTAATTCCCACAAAATTTCTGATGTCACATTTGAGGTTTGAATATTCTATCCTGCATAATCTTTCATTTTTTTTATAAATCAACTATATTGTCTTATTAATTTTTAACCAAGAGTACCCTCGATCGTATTATCTTTAATTTTTTTAATTATCTATAACAATATATAAAATAATACATAATTTTAATTTTAAATTTTCAATTCAATTTTACTCTTTAATATATCATAATTATCTCTTTTGATTATTTTGTTATTTAATTTTAGTTTCTATTCACTAGAATTCTATCATTATAAATCAACTATGATTCTTTCTCTATAATAATAAGTGATTTTTTTTTTATCTTAACATTTTATCTGTATTTTTTTAATTTTTGGTTACTTATCATTTATTTTTTATCTTAGTTATTTTATATTTTATTTAAATAAAATATATAGAAACACAAAGTGTCTTAACTTTACTAATATTTATTAATAGATAAACATACACTAGTCAACCAATCATTTCTGATATAAGAGAGGAGAGGTTGCAGTTTCACAATATTCAAAAATAATAAACATAGTCAATAAAATACTTTTTTATTAATTTTTTTTAATTTATGTAAAATAATAAATTTTTATTTTGTGTTATAAAAATTTATTTATTTTTATCTTTTAAAATTTAGACTTATTATTTTTAGTCCTTTCGACTGTGTAATATTGTTATTATTTATGTGTTATTAATTAGAAGGTTTATTGATCATTCGATCTAACACTCACAAATGTTTGTAATACCATTTCATTAAGTACTATCTCTAAATTATTTTAAAATACATTATTTATTTACTTTAAAATTGTCATTAAAGATTAACAATGATGACTTAAACTTTAGAAAGAATAAAAATTAAAATAAAAATTTTATAAGAAATAAAACTAAAATTTATTTATTTTATAAAATAATTATAAATTTTAAAATATAAAATAAAAATTACCACATTTTACATAGAATAAACAAATTTAAGTCTTGTATTAATAAAACAGTCACAACAAATAAACGAGAATCATGAGAAGCCATAATGATTGACTTACCAAAAGCAGATTATTCTGCCTTTTCAATTCACCAAAATGATCAAATGTGGGAATGAATTATCTGAATCTTGATTATTATTTGGATTCTCTCTTCATAAAAAAAATATAAAATAAAATAAAAAAAAGTTTGTTATCAAAATCTCATTTATTTATTATTACTTAAATTTTGTCTTTTGTTATTTTTAATTTAAAATTGAGGTTTTACAAAAGTGGCATGAGAGAATCTAAATCTGACCAAATGTAGCATCACTGGTTTCATCACAAAGTGGAGAGAATCACAACTCAAGGAAGTTAGGGAGGCCTGTGTCAACATAAAAATAGTAAACATAGTAAATAAATCTTATTTATGTTAAATTTGTTGACTTAAAAGTAATTATTTTAAAAGTAATATAAAAACATTGTTGTATACAAATATAAATGCATGTTTTTGCAGGGCTTCATGTTCCTGGGACTCTCAACCTGCATGGTTTGGTCCAACTCAATGCTCCAATGACCCATCATCACGTAAATGAATTGACCCGTCCCTTTAGGCCCATTTTGAATTCTTACCCATTAATGGAAATCAAACTTGTTTTATACATGTGCAAATCATTAATTTGATTGTTGTTTAATTCAACTCAGTTTTAATTAATTTTTAAATAATGCTAAACATATCCAAGTACACTGTTAGGAATTAATTTAATTTTGAAATAAATTTTCATTTGAAAATTAATAAAAATAGGAAAGATTTAAATTTAACTTTTCTCTCATTTAGTGCAAAATTTAACTTGAATCTGATTGGATATGAGTGAATTTTAAATTAAGTTCATTTTAACGATTTCAAACAAAAGTACCTTGTTTAAGAGACCAAAAGCATGGATAATACAAATTAAAGAAACAAAAAATGTATTTAAATTTTTATAAAGCCCCACCAAAATTAGTCTAGTGGTATTCAGCAACAAAAATAAATAATAAATAAATCAGCCTAGTGATTAAGAATTTAAATAATATAGCATAATCTTATATTAAAACTCTACTAATTTAATTCAAGTGTTATTGAAACATACGACTTTTATGTTGACCAAATACTAAAAAGAGCTTCATTGTTTAATTTTTTTTTAAGAACATTGCTAAGTTAATGTTGCACATATATGATACTTCAAAAGAAAATAGTCCTACATTGCTTGAACCTTTTTATATCAAAGTGCTCCTTACATTTCCAAAGAGACAAGTAATGGGTGGTGAGCTCGTGCATGTAAGAATGGACTTTGTGAGCCCGTTGTAGTTCAAATCTATCGATTTGCCCCCCTGTGCGTGTGAAAATAAGATCTTTTTCACATTTCAAATTTGGATTCTCAGATTTTGCGATTGTCAGTGCTCCTCAAATCAACAGTTAATTCAAGTGTTATTTCAAATACTTCAGACTAAACTTGTTACCATTACCATAACATAAGGTTGTAAAATATACATGTACCAACCATTTTAAATCAATTCCATAGCGTGAAAGGAAGAAAAACAGGCAATAAAAGATGCAGCCAGTTTACTTTAGATCATTGCATTATTCCATTGATTACAGTGATGACAAAACGGTGGATTAAAGTCTAGCAAGATCAATTATTACACGAAACAGCACTTCAAAAAACATCAATATACAACCTGCCCATTGAAGGGTTGAAAAGAATGACTTTCCTTTGATAAAGAATTTCATTTCTTATCCTGACTTGTTATAATGCCTGTGCAGAGCTGTCATCAAGGGACCAAAATTTAACAGACTTGAAAAACAACTTAAGCAAACACAACTATGGATAATGATGATGTTAGTGGTTAACTTAAGGCTATGATATGATATCAGCAACTCTACCTTATTATTGTTGTGAGATCATCAAAGACAGTTTTCATGTCAGGCCTGTCAGATGCTGGAAGGATGCATCTCAAAGCCACCTTTAGCATCTC